CATATTAGTATTTGATAAGATGTTCTAAGATTGTATTTTTGTTCTTAAATAGAAATACATAAAAATAAATGATTTGTAATCTTTCCCAATAACTTTTTAACTTTAACGTACTTGGAAAAGCTGTATTTTTTAAAAAGTAAAACAGTTTCATTCCACCAGATGTCACTGTTTGCATGTAGCAACGAACTTTTAGTGGTTCAACAGTAAAACCCCCATCACATTTTACAAAAATAAAAATCTGTATAGTTACAAATATATTTTCTATAGGCTCATAATTTTTGATATTGTATTCGTTGCTTTCAAAAAAGTATGCAAAATATTCATCTGCCTCTGCTGCAGATTTTAAAGAAAAATTACACAAGGATAAAGAAACTTGTGTGTAGGTTAGCATCTAAGAAGCTGAGCTTGGAAAGTTTCTCCAGTCCTAGGAATTTTTTTTTTTTTAAAAAAAACAATCTCTATAAGTTACAGTCTTACAGATTGTGGAACGAGATCCTATAAATGGGATGTAAAAGTTTTGTGTTTAGCTATGAATATTTTGAAAATAGAATATAGAACAGCCTATTGCATATACATGGTACCTTGCTAAACTTTTTGTAAGCGAACTTCTTTAGTTTTCCTATGCACATATTTTGTGAATTACCAGAAGGTGATGGTAAGTTCCTGAGAGCTTTCCCTCGGATTTTGTGCCTTGTAGCAAGGTCCACTTTCTAAGGAAAAGAGAGTGAAGCTGCTGTGATTGTCGAGCTCCTCTCCCCAGGGTCCTCCTAAGGCAGAAGAGGCTGCCAGAGAGAGAAACTGCCATGCCTCCTAGGCTTTGGTTCACTGGTGCTTATAGACAACCTAGAGAAGCGTTCTCACACTTCAGGTCACATGTCCTCTGATCTCTGGCAGCAACTCACAGTAAGAAACGTGTTTCTTACCCTGGTCGACAGTAGACTGATACTACTGACTGTCATGGTAGATCGGTGTCGACTCTGAAAAAGGTGTAGCTTTTACTTTTAGAGAGATGGGCTTGTTTTTCTCCTTTAGCCTCTTCCTTGATAGTAACAATATAGATTAAAATTTCAGCCATTTACTGGACATGTATGATTTGAAACACTCACTGCATATATTATTTCTAAGCTGTGGATATAAGAACCAGTCAGTGTTGCCGTTTACAAATGAGGGAACAGATTGAGGAAGGGAAGGTATTGGTGTCAGTCTGTTTGGTGTTGGTCTAACAGAATGCTCAAGATTAGGTAATTTATCAAAAACCAACCAAGTAAACAGATTTGTACCGGAGTTTTAGATGTTCCAGAGTGGTCAGCTGCATCTAGTCAGAGACATACGCTTCTGCAACTCATGAGAAAAATCTAAGATGAAAATTCCCATCCACCAGAGTCAACTTACTCCTATAACAAGGCATTGATTCATTCAGCAGAGCTGTAGCCTTATGACACAAATTCTTCTCGTTAGTCCCTACTTCTTAAGATTGCTACGTTTGGGAACAGGACTCAGTGTGAGTTTTAGTGAATACAAATCATATTCAAACCATGGCACCAACATAATAGAGCATGTGGCCAATTTAGGATTAAAATCCAGGCTACAGCTTCATTGCAGAGTCTCGGTCTTCTCACGGTGTCGGTGATATTTGAACTTTCTTTCCCCCCCTTTTTTTTTTTTTTAAAAAAAAGATTTCTTTATTTATACACTTGATTGCTCTATTTGCATATATATCTGCCTGACAGAAGAGAGTATTAAACTGAGGAGGGCACCAGGGCATTATTATCCCATATGGTTGTGATCCACGATGTGGTTTCTGGGGATTGAATTCAGGACCTCTGAAACAACAGCCAGTACTCTTAATCGTTGATCCATCTCTCCAGCCCATGTTTAGACTTGCTTAAGCATAAAGACCATTTGGTGTGCTTGGTCAGTATATTAATTCTCAAACCTACTGAATCAGAATTTCCAGAGGAGGGCTGGATGATGTAGACTTGATGGTCACTCCTGGTGTTGTATGATCGAGCTGTTTTAGAAAGGCTAGTGATAATCAGAGGCTCTCAAACAGTATCAGAATCAGCTGCGGGGATGGTGAAAACATGGATCACTGGGTTCACATCCCCAGTTTCCCATCCATTAGGTGCATCTCTACCAAGTACATGTAAGATGTTTGTGACAGTTAGGGAGTCCCCATGGACCTACTCCAACAGCCCATGCTGGGCTTTGGTTTTCAGGACCCCACCCCCCATTCTGTAAGACTCTTTTTACTTAGCCAAAGTTCACCATCTACATCATAACTACTACATCCAAGCCCTTGGGAAATGGACAGTTAGTGTAGTCATCTCCCCAGCCTCATGCTATTTTCCTACGAGATAAATACAAGGCAACATGGAGTATGTTCTATAATGAAAGAACAGGAGGAAGTTTAAGGAGATAAAGGTGAGTTTTGTCTGGGTAGGAGGAGAGTTGTGCAGGTCTTGGAAAAAGAGTTCAAGTTTCTAGCCCTTGCTCGTTCCCATTTCCAGAGCCTCAGGGTCCTACAATTGTGTGTTGGCTTGGCTGTTCCAAAGGTGCCCTATACGTGGTACTCAGTCTCCAGTACCTAGTTCACCTTTTCATAGTATACATGGATTGAATGGCGCATTGGGGGAGTGAAGTAGGATTGGCCAGGTCAGTGGACTCCAGCGTTTGGAGGAGTCTGGCTGCAAGGTGCTACAGTTTAGGCCCCGTTGTAAGTTAATCATTGGAGCATTTGGAGAGGAAGTGATTGACCCAAAGTCTGCCATGGGTCTGTAACAGGAATTGGAGGAGGGAGAGGCTGGAGGTAAAGAGCCAGAAAAGATGATAGCACAGGAGTCACATGAGGAGCTGTGATGGTCAGGAGAGGCACTGGAGCGAATGAGCAGAATGGGCAGCTGCTGTTGGAAGTGAGGGCGCAGTTGGAGATCAGGAGACTTTCGGTCCGAACTCAGAAAATGGTGATGTTTCCCAAAGATGAGAACTTGAGTAAGGTTGGATGCACTTCTCTCAAAATAAGGGCTCATGGAAAACCAAGAGAGAAAATTACAAATAGCTGATTCACCTCTGTCATGTGGGAACTGTTGCTAACCTTGGATGGCCATTCCACTAAGGCTCTGGGCATGTCTGCCGGAGCTGGCACTGTGGAATGCCAGCAACATCTTCCATATTCTTTTGACCAACTAACACATAACAATTAATTGTGCCTTTGGAAACTGAAAGACAGTCCGTGTAAATGATGGTTGCCACCCTGTTTATGACTCCCAGCTGAAGAGAAGAACAGCAGTGCTGTAAGCGCTTTTTGTCACCCTGCCCCTGACCACTGTCACCTTCCCTCCACCGTCGGTTGTATTTATATTCCAGGCTCATTTTTTTAGTCTCTAGACCGGAGCCTGTTCTTTTCCAGACCAGGACTGAGTTGCGAAAAACAGAAATACTTTTAGCTGTTTGAAGCAAGACGAAATAGAGGAATTGAGCAACTGCGGATTAGCGGAAGGGTTGAAACAAATGGGCATTCACCTGGGAAGACGTGCAGAAATACCCACACGGCAACTGAACTGGCTGCCGGAGGGGAATCGCTCCTCCTGTCTCAGGAAAGCTGAGAATCCAAAACCCGTTCTGCTAACATGGCCCCTTAGTTAAGAGTCAGGGAATCACGTGTCTTTGTCCCAGATTTTTAGTCTTATTTGTTAGGCTCCCTGGTAAAATAAAAATGAAATCAAACAAAAGCAGTAACTTTGGAACACTTACTGTGGAAGAACTCGGTGTGTCTGACTGTGCTTGCAACAGAAACCTCAGAACCTCCTTCATTCTGCATGGTACGTGTGTGAGCACCCCTGGAGAGAGGTCCCAGGTCACATCTAGGACACCCCAGCTGCAGGAGAGTTCTTACCTCGCCGTCCTCACCACCATCAGGAGGACTGACTTTCTGTGTATTCAGCTTGCTGGGAGCTGCTTGTAATTTCTCTTTGAATCCAGATATTTGACTAAAGACAGGTAAGAGGCGACTTTCCCCAGAAGTTGGGCTCTGAGAGTTCAGAATATCATGAGTTGGCAAGTCAGTTGGGTTTGTGGATGTTTAGCCTTGACAGTTGGTAACTCACGAAGCTATTATAGTTGCCTTTAGTGGAATGTTCCGAAATCAGAGTGTGTCAATCATGTGTGATTGACACTACTGGAATCCGACCAAGCCTGATTTATGTTTATTTTATACTTATTACAGCACGCTTACAATAGAGCATTAACTATTAAGAACTCTCTTAAGTCATTTATTATTGATTACCTCTGCTGTCAAACTTTAAGGTTTATACTAAATTATGCCTGTATGCTACCCATTCTTAGCTATAAGCCTGTGTTGTCTACGGAGGGAAATGTGATGCTAAACATTTTCAATTTGGCAAGATCTAAGCCAAAAGGGAAAGCTACAGTGTGCTGGCAATCCTACTTAGGTCGGTGTTTTGACCCCAGTCTAAGAAATTCTGTTTGACTGTGGATTTGGAGTAGAGAAGAAAGCTAGAAATAAAGTTTAAGAAAATATTTTTTTGTATATAGATGTTTTGCCTTCATGTATGTCTATAAGCCACATGTATGCCTGGTGCTTGCAGAGACCAGAAGAGATTTTTGGACCCCCTGGAAGAGCTGCTATGTAGGTTCTAGGAATTGAACTTAGGTCCTTTGGGAGAGCAGCCAGTACTCTTAACCACTGAACCATCTCTTTAGCCCCTGAATAAGGTTTTAAATTTTTTTTTGGTTGTTTCATATTTAGAAAGTGAGCTCTTTTCCCCCATGGAATGAATCAAATGCATTACAAAGATTACCAATCAATTGTGTTTAGAGCCATATTTTTAAAAAATTTGAATTTACTTCTCTATGATCTGCTTGGTGCAGATATTAAATATCAGTACATTTCTCTAAGCAGAGATAAGTGGAAAGAGGGTGTTCTTTTTTGCTTTATCAATAACTTTAAGAACAAATTTATTATTTCTGTCACATTATAGAATACTGTATGGTTTTCCTGTTGAGAAAGAGAAATATAGCAGCGTTCCTCCAGTCCCACCAGAGGAATTCCCTGAATTGGTGCAGACAAGTCAATGGCAACCTCACCAACCAGACCTGCAGCTCTCAGGAGAAGAAGTAAGAATTCCCTTTAATACTAGGTTTCTCTACCTCGTGTGTTCTTAAACTTTTTGGTCTGTACTCTTTTGGTATTCTTGAATGTTATTGAGGACTTTTATATTGTGAATGTGAACTGTATTTTTGAACATTAAAATGGTAAAAACACGAGTGTTAAATGTGATTCCACAGGGCGTGTTTATAAAGTCACAGCTGCCTTTTTCTGTGCAGCGTTGTCTGGCTGTGTAGGCCAGGTTAGGCTGCTTCTAGCTGGTGATCCTTCTGCCTTGGTCTCCTGAGTGCTGGGATTACAGCCACACACTGCCATGCTTCCTTTCATTACAGTCTCCAACACCTAACTATATGGAGAAAACTAGAATTTGTTCCTAAATTTACTCACTTGTCAAATCTCTTTGTATATTGGATTCTCATAAATTCTGCATATTTTTTGGTTGTTTGTTTGGTTAGAATACATGAGAAAAATTCTGACTTTAAAAAGATACATAGCTGGAAAAGACAAAAATATTTCAGTAGCCTTTCTTCTGTAGTTGTGGGAGGGTGAAGATACCAGTAGACTATTAGATGTTATTGCTATATTATACCAGGATCAAATAAATTAAATTAAATACTCACAAAGAGATATTTTCAAAAACACCAGAAAATAAGAGTAGAATTCCAAATAGGTCCAAATAACTCAAAGACAAGGAAGAATAGAAAACAGAGAGACAAAAGGAAACTACAGAATAAAAAAATAATGTAAATATAATGGTCCTTAATTAAATGCAAATCCTCTAAATATGCTCAATGACAGAGAATGCCAGAAAGTGTTAAAAAACAAATAAACATAGCCCAACTATGTAGTTTCTATAAAAATATGCTAAAAATATGAGATGGTTTGATTTATATTAGAAAATTTAAAAAGCTATCGTGTAGACACTAATCAAACAAGGATGCTAGTGGCTGTATTTGTATCAGATAGTAAACTCCCAAACCTGGCAATTTATCAGAGACAGAATCACAGGCAAAGTGTAGATACACCAGGACACAGTCATGGTAAACTGTTTATGTAGCCAATGTAAAACTGTAAGATATGTGAAAAAAATTCTCAGTCACAGAAGTGACAAGAGAAATGAGGAGTTCTATGATTGCACTTGACTATTTCAAAATATTTTATTTCCAACATCTGACTGCAACATCTAGATAATCAGTAAAAGGTATAAAAGGCTCAGCAAACAACACTGGTTTAATCTATGATTAAATTTATATTTAATCTATGATTAAAGAGAACATTTTGGGAATCTTAAAATCTACTGACCTGATGAAAATCTAACATGTCAAAGACTGTGGGAGGTAACCCAAAGAAGGCAGAGAAGAAAAATTTTATAGCAGTACATAGCACAATAGAAAAGAGAAAATTCCAAGTCAGTAATTTAAGCTCCTACCTCAATAGTCAAGGAAAAGAAGTACAAAGAGACCTAGAGGAGTCAGAAAGAGGAAGTAACAAGGAGCAGAACTTGGTGGAGTCAAAAGCAGCAGATCAGAGCAGCCAAGGAAAGTGCATTCTCTGACGAGGTAAAATAAGCGAAAATCTCTAGGAAAAACAAGGAAAGAAAGCCACAAATTAGCATTAGAAACGAAAGCATCTGCAGACCGTGGAGGAGAACAAAAGATTGTGGTGGTGGTAGCATCATAAGCTACTCTCTATGTACATAAATAGGAGATCTCCAAAGAGATGGAGCAGTCTCTTTCCACAAAACTGCAGCTTACCCTACAGGAGAGGTAGAACTTTCAACCAGCAGCATAACTAGTAAGGAAATCGAATGATCAAGAAGCACCCTCTTCTTTCCTCATTTCCAGACTCTGGTAATTTACTGGATTTACTGGAGAGACTTATACTAAGTACTTAAGAAAAAACTGAAACTAGTTCTGTAAAATCCCTTCCCCAAAGGGAAGAAGGAACACTTCCTAATTTTTGGTGTAAAGGACATAGAATGAAATACACACACAAGGAATTATATGACATGTGATAAAAGGGTAATTCCATATTTAAGGTTGTATCATAGTCCATAATGAAGAAAAATGCATGATTGCATCAATCAGTGCAGAAAAATAATTCAGTGAAACCAAGCGAATTTTATGACAAAATTCTCAGAACAACATGAGTGGGGGGATTCTCTGCAATCTGATAGGGACATTCAGAGTCTGCACTGTCGGGGTTAGGACTATATTCTGCTACAGAAATAATCTGAGGCCAGCTTGAGACCATGATTTAAAAAATGAAAGAAGGAAAATAGAAAAATATCCACAGGTGACTACTATACAGTTCAGCAACTGCTTACCTGAAGATCATAAAGAAATGGTAACATAAATCTTGCCTGGACTGCTTGACTGTATGCTGTATGAACTAGACAAGCAGTACCCATAGAAAAATGACTGTTGAACTTGCCAAAAGGTGAGACAGTCCTTCAGGGTTCCTGCTCCATGAAAGAACTGCCAGACATTTTGCAGGACACAGATTAAAGCATCTGATGAGCTTTGCCATTACAAGGCAAATCAGATCTTCAAATTTCCTGCTTCATGGAGAAGCCTGTCAGATATTATGGGCCTATAGGCTGAAGATGGGTTCCCCAGCATTACAGAAGAACTGTGGGTGACTGTCCAGGCAGCAAGATGTCTCTGTCAATTCTAGAGTTTTGGAAGTTGCTTACAATGCACTTCCTGTTTACTTAGATAAAGACTTTTGTTGAAGTTGAAGATAGAGTCTTTGGTGGAGTTGAAGACAGATAGTTATAGTTTTCCTTAGTTATGATAAAAGATAAAGTAGATATAAATATTGTAACTATAATTCTACTTGATACCTGTTTTGTTATATGTAATTTTACTATGTTAAAGTTAAAACCTTTTTTTTTATTTGGAAAGAAAAAGGGAGATGATGTGGGATTCCCCTCTGTATGCTATGAATATGTTTTATTATTATTTATTATATGGTTATTAAAGAAGCTGTTGCAGCCGATGGCTGAGTAGGGTAAAGGTAGGCAGGAAATCTGAACAGAGATATAGAGAGAAAGTAGGTGGAGTCAAAGAGATGCCATGTAGTTGCTGAAGGGGGCAGATGCCCCTGAATCTTACCAGTAAGCCACAACCTCTTGGTGATACACATATTAATAGAAATGGGTTAATTTAAGATGTAAGAGTTAGTTAATAAGAAGCCTAAGCTATTGGCCAATCAGTGTTGTAATAAAAAAGTAACTTTATAAGAAAATATATTCCAAGCACTCTGGCTATAATGTTTTAAGCAAAATGTTGCACATTGTGTTGGTTAGTTTTAACTTTTAGCTTGGCACAGTCTAGAAATCCCCTCCAGCACCCTGCTCTGATCTGCTGACTGAACTGGGCTTGGGCTGGGTGTCTTCAGGTGTCACCCCATTGCTGGCTCAGAGTTCTCTACAATCATGTGTCTGTTTTTTTGTTGTTTTGTGTATGTGGTAGGTATTGCCACTTTTGTAGATTTCTGAAGTTCTTTATTTTTTCTCTTAAATAATATAATAAATAAAAATAGAATAAAGTCTCTTCACTCTATTTTTTTCTTTTCTTTTGCCTTTCCCTCAGTAGATCACACTGAGGTAGATTCTTGTTTGCCATTTTACCTGTAAGTTTTCTTATTATGTGGTATTCCTCACAATGATGAATTGTGAGGCTCTAGAACCCATTGTTGATTTCTAGGGCTCCAGAGTCTGGTTTCCAATGAATGTCTCACCAGAGGAAAAGATGAGTGATCTTTATGATACTGTATCTTGATTGAATAATTGTTAGCATTGTATGTATGAGAGCGTATTATAATTTTTAAGATGTTGCCTTAAGGTCAGTTGGGTAAAGGTGGAGGGATCTTTGCACTATTCATTAAAATTCATGTGAATTTTCCAAATAAAAAGTATAATATAGCTGGATCTTGAGGTAGATCAACTCCCAGTTTTCGGAGGAACTGCCATGATGATTTCCAGCACTCCCACCAGCAGTGGAGGAGTATTCCCCTTGCTCCACATCCTCTCCAGCATGAGCTGTCACTTGTGTTTTTTATCTTAGCTACTATGACATGTGTACAATCTCAAAGTCCTTTGATTTGCATTTTCCTGATGGCTAAGGACGTTGAACATTTCTTTAAGTGTTGCTCAACCATTTGAAATTCCTCTATTGAGAATTCTCTGCTTAGATCTGTACCCCATTTTTAAAGTGGAATATTTTTTTTGTGTTTAGTTTCTTAAATTTTTTATTTATTTTGGTGAAATATATGTGTGTACATACACACATATGTACACACTACCTTTGTCAGATGTGGAGTTGGTGAAAATCTTTCCCATTCTATAGGTTGCCATTTTGTTTTATTGATGATATTTTTGCCTTGCAGAGCCTTTCAGTTTCATGAGGTCCCATTTATTGATTATTAATCTTAGTGCCTGAGCTATAGGTATTCTGTTCAGGAAATTGTCTCTTGTGCTAATGAGTTCAAGGCTATTCCCCATTTTTCTTTTTATTACGTTCAGTATGTCTGTTTTTTTTTTTTGAGGTTGGATATTTATTTAGTGGGTTATTGAAGGGGAAAGGAGAAGGGAAGAAAGGGAGAGAGAGAGAGAGAGAGAGAGAGAGAGAGAGAGAGAGAGAGAGAAGAGACGGAAGCTGCCTCTTCGAGAGGGAGATAAAAAAAGGTATGTCTGGTTTTATATTGAAGTCTTTGGTTCACTTGGTCTTAAGTTTTGTGTAGGGTGATAGTTATGTATCTATTTGCATTTTTCTACTCGCTGATATCCAATTAGAACAGCACATGTTGAAGATGTTTTCTTTTTTTTCCCATTGTGTATTTCTGGCTTCTTTAACAAAAGTCGGGTGACCATATATATGTGTATTTACATCTGGATCTTTGATTCAATTCCATTGAACAATTTGTCTGTTTTTATGCCAATACCATGCAGTTTTTATTACTATAGCTTTGGGTAGAGTTTGCAATTGGAAGTTCTTTCATTGTT